TCCAGCGAATTATCATATTAGAGGTGTCTGCTCTTACCAGCACCCCTGTGACGATCTATCTTCTGTGGGGTGCGACTTTCTGCGTGATTGAACCTTGGGGTGGTCGGATGGGCCTAAGGGCTAATTGCATGGATGCCCCCATTCTTTTTCTTCCTCTGTTTTGCAAGAACTTGGTTGCCCAGTTGTTGGTGGTCAGGACGCGCCTTAGTGATAACGGTTGACGCAGCTTTTTCTTTTTATTTTGGGAAATTCAGGCAGAGAACTAGGGAAATCCTTTTGAATTTTTGAACTCTTTGGAGAGAGTGTGGGGAATCACGCAGGTATCCGGAATTTCCTTTGGCAATCGAAACTTTAATTAGACTAGGATTTCGGGAACACCGTAGGGTGCTCCTTGCACGCGCCTTGCTGCGCTCTGTCTTGCACTCTGTTCCCGCCATGCTTTAATTCTAATCGCAACTGTAATTTCCTCTCGTTCCTCTCTTAGCGAGTGTGGGTGTAACTGTAGTCTTCTCCCTCTTGACTTCTCTTCGCGGCGAAATATGCGGTCCCTTTCCCTTCGTCTCATTAGCCAGAGCAGTGCATGACTGGATCGATGCTTGGAGAGTGGCCATGTGCCCCGCGCCTTGGCCTAGGCATGCCGACCGTAGTCACCTCCTTCCTTTCTCTCTCCCCTTGCCTTACCGTAATCCCGGCTATTTCGCGCAGATGCTAATTGATATAAATTTTGCAAACGCAACTAAATGGAACCTCTAATCGAACTTGTGGAGTTAGCATGGTCGAGAGGATCGGCTACGAGTGTGGGCATGGATGGAGGTGAGTTCGGGGCTGGGCGATCGGACAAGCTGGTGGTGAGTGTGCGGGGTTGACGTGTGGCCGTGACGGACTGTGGGGCACAGGTGAACCCGGCGTGCGTACTCGGGCTAAGCGGGATGACAGCTTTGGGTTGTTGGTACTGCCTGCATCGGAGTAAGGAAGAGGATGGTGAAGTGGTGAAAGCACATGGGGCGCTGGGGTGTGTGGGCACTTCTCTCCTTGCCTTCTAAGAATTTTGGTTTCGGCTTCCGCCATTTTTGCCTTCGTAATGCTTCCTTTCTCGGGAGTTCTCTCATATTTCTTTCTTTTTATGAATGATGTCACGAGTGATGATTGCGGTTTGATCGTCCAAAATTGCATGCATAATCCTCGTTAATGTCTGGAGATGGAATGATTGGGAAACGTGGGTGCACGCCTAGCCCATGGGAATTGAAGGGAAATAGAGAAGTTGGTCGCCTCGAGTTGCATTGTGAACGGATCTTGGGCCACGTGTATACGTTACAGTCGGCCAATAAACCGGCCCGTCACATGTACTTGAGGCACCACGTCCGGGCTGCATTATTGGTATACTTCTGCATGGGTAGGAATATGATTCCATTAAGGTGAATTCGTAGCATAGAATTCGGTGTCCCTTTTCGAGTAATAGATCGTGATTGCTTAAGGGACCGGGAGTACCTGGAATATCGGGGAAGCGAATATTCCTCTCATCAATTGCGATCGAGGCTCCCTGACTTCCCACGTCAGGCGGGAGATGAGTGTGTGTGCGGGTGGGATCTACAGCAAGCCATAGGCCGCAGCCCCCAGGTCAGGCAATAGCCCGACACACGCATGTTTCAGGTTTTTGTTGAGCCTGGGTTCGTTGTCATAGAAACTGAGTTCCCTCCCCACTATCTTATCCTCCTCTATCACCATTTAACTGTTATCCCTTGGGGTGCATTAGCCTCCCCTCCCCCACCCCCTCCTACTGACTGAGATCGCAGCATGCGCCTGAGACTGTCTGCGTCAGACTCCAAGATCTGTGAATCCCATAGGCACCACATGTTTGAGCAGCGGGATACCCACTGTGCTCCTTCCGTACACCGCATACGGACCCACCCTAGGCGCCGAACCCGGCCGTCTTGAGTACCCGGCCCTGGAACCTTGACACGGAGAGCCCAGTTTTGACCTGGAGCTCCACCCCACTTTCCTAAAATCCTTGGCACACCCCCTTTTCGCAACTTCCGGGCCCGCTCCCACTCTGATCAGGAAGTCGCGCTGGGCGTGAGGTTTTGGGCGTCACACTCCTAGCACCGGCCCGGGTTCTTAAAAAGGAAAAAAGAAAAAAAGAAAAAAAAAAACACAGTTTTGGAGTTCCAGTCACCAAGCGCTCATCAGCGCAGCGTTCAGCAACCCAAATCCAGCATCCTCATCCAGGTAGGTGACTCCCTCTCTCTCTCTTTCTCTTTCATGCATGTGTCCTCTCTCTCTCTCTCTCTCTCTCTCTCTCTCTCTCTCTCTCTCTCTCTCTCTCTCTCTCTCTCTCTCTCTCTCTCTCTACATGAAGACGGCGACTCTGGATACATCCGCCCGCTACTCAGCTCTACGCTTACTGCTATACTGTGCGGCTATGGCCACCTTCCTTCCACAGTGCAGTGCTGCCCAGCCAGGGCTCCAGCGCTGGCCAACTCGCGAATAGCGCACAAGCGCTCAGCAGCACTTCCACACTACTCACAAATGCGCAGTCTATCCGAAATGTGGCTGGCCAGTCTCCATATTGACTTGGACTGGGCCTTGACGCATCCAAGCCTGTGCTTCTCTTGGCTTGACTTGGATCCGGTACTGGCTGCCTGCGGCCTGTTTGCTTCCGGAATGTTGAGGTCCGGTACCTCCCTGAGTTTTCCTTGGTGTGCTGCTACTTTTGGTCTGTGGGTCGTGACCTTTGACTGTGGGACGTGACCCTCGCATTTGGGATGTGACTCTTTACTGCAGGACGTGACTTTTGCCTGACAGTGTGGGATGTGACTTTCGACTGGGTACCGGTTTGGACTTTACCTCTGCCGTATACGACTTAACCTTTCTGAATCTGGCTTTCTGAATCTGGCCGACTTGGCAGAAGGACCCTTTTGGCTTGGCAACTTACGACACTGAGATCCCAGTTCAGGGTCAGGGTCTGCGGTGTGAAATGCCTTTCAAAGGATCCCTCTGGCTTTTTTTTTTTTTTTTTTTTTTTTTTTTTTTTTTTTAATTTTTAAACGCTCCTCCCTTCTTTTTTTATTTTTATTTTTTAATACCATTTCTCGATTTATGCATGTCATTCTTGCGCAGGGGCCATAGTTATCTTCTTTCTCTTGATCGTTCCAATTTTAATTTTTAATGGATGCCCCCGAAGGACTGCTCCTGATTTGTAGAGCAAGGGTTTTTCTGTTGCAGAGCGCCGGCTCCTCCCATACCCTTCTTTTTTTTTTTTTTTTTTTTTTTTTTTTTTTTTTTAAAGAAAATCCCTTTTCCAAGCCCACTATCCCGGTGGCGGTAAGAGAGCCACCAGGATTGGAGTCTTGGCCATTCGCGCTGCTCCACCTATTGGTGGGGAGCGGCACCTGCTGGAAACCGGGTCCAGCGTCCCTTGGAAACAGCATTGCGACCTCTGGGGCCATGGACATTGAGATATTACCTCGGGGCTGTCTGATCCCTAAGGGCTGCACATTGACACCCTTCCCTTACTGCGACTCCCCCATATGAATGGCCTGGCCCTGTTCCCCGTCTGTCTGTCTCACGCTTAGTAAGCTAAATTCCCCCTTTACTACATGTCGACTGTACCCTGGGAACTGCAGCCCTTCCCTCTATCGAACTTAGTCACAACATCATTGAGAAAGTCAACCCCCCGCGCCCTCTCCCATTTGTCGAGACAAAAATCGGTTTTCTTTTCCGGTTTTAATCTGCTCTTCTCCAGTGTAGTGAATCGGGAATACTTTTTTTTTCTTTAGTCTCAAATACTTTCAAAAGGATACTATAATTTCGTTTTATATTTTTATTTTTTTCCTTCATATGTATGGAAAATGATTGAAATTAGTAAGTAAGAAATGCAGCGGACAGAATGCAATACCAATCCGATATATAATTAAAAAATGAAAACTTTTAAATCGTCTATGGCATGTACACGTGTAGGCCTTTGGCCTATTATAATAGAGAACCTGTCATCAATTGTGTATGTATACAATACTTTACATCATCTTGTACATTCTTGTCATCAACTTTTTTCTTTTTCTTTTTTCTTTTTTGGTCACATTGTCATCATCTTGTCATGAATTTGTCACCAATGATGATGGTCTTGAATCCAGCAGCCATCATAAAAAACAAGCTTCATATTAATTACTTATATTATATTAATCATATTTATTTATTAAAACAAATATTATTCTAGTAAAACGAGAATAATTCTTATTTGAGTAAATAAATATGATTACTATAAGTTAATTAACTAAATATGAAATATCATCATCATCATCATCATCATCATCATCATCATCATCATCATCATTGGCATCATCGTCATCATTGGCATCAACCATCAACCATCAACCATCAACCATCAACCATCAACCATCAACCATCATCACCATCATCATCATCAATCACGATCATCATCGTCAGCCACGATCAGCATCATCATCATCGAGCACGATGGTCAAGCATCAAGCATCAAGCATCAACCATCAACCATCAAAATCATCTTCATCATCCGCATAAACCATCATCGCACCAACCACCAACCACCAACCACCAACCACCAACCACCAAACATCGACCATCATCGTGATCATCAACTGTGATCATCATAATCATTGTCATCATCATCAATTGGTAGTCTGAGCAGGATAGGATCATCATCATCATCACACATCATCATCGTCATCATCGTCATCATCGTCATCATCGTCATCATCGTCATCATCATCATCATCATCATCATCATCATCATCATTACCATCATCGTCATCATCATCAATCACTAGTGTCAATCCAGCACTACAGGTATGAATGAGGGTGGAAATCAACATTCATACCGAAGTGACAAAACTTGCCTTTTTTTTTTACTGGAGTTTGTGATCGTTTTGAATTTGTGCTTTTGGGGAATATTTCAAATTGTGGTTTTGATTTTGTCATTGTGTTATATGATGCTTGTGGTTTGTCTCTGTTCTGTTCTCCAGCCGCGGCTCCGCATCCTTTTCTATCCTGCATATTTCGACTCCCAGAAGAACAGCATTTTCCCCATTCCTGGTAATCTCTCTCTCTCTCTCTCTCTCTCTCTCTCTCTCTCTCTCTCTCTCTCTCTCTCTCTCTCTCTCTCTCTCTCTCTCTCTCTCT